GGCGCCGAGGCATCCGCTTCTTCTACGGTGTGCCGCTTATCACGAAGGACGGCATTGAGCTCGGGACGTTGTCGATCGCAGACGACATGCCCCGCGGCCGCATGGCAGCGACGGCCAAGGACCGGATGGCGCGCGTCGCCGCCGACGTGTTGGCACTCATGGAGCAGCAGGGCCGCATCGCGCACTCCTAAGTCCAATATTGTTCTATTTAGTTTTCCTCGTGTGTTAATGGGCTCAAGAGCCACGGTCAAGCTAGGCTATCGTGATTTCACCACGTCCAGATTTAGTAGACACTTGTCTACGTGGGCGTGGTCCATTTAGCCATAAGTCCTGTCGTCGCGTCTACGCCGGGGCCGCTGTCGCCGACGTCGAGTTGTTCTCTATCTTTGACGTTCCGTGGTGTTGTTGGATACGTGGTTCTTGTTGCTGGCAGCCATTCAAATCGGGTAAGGCCACAGCTTCCAAATCCATGCGCTCCCGACACTCCACTTTCCCAAGCAGTGAGCCACTTCTGCACTGTAATGAATCCTGCCCAATTCGTTTATGGCACCATTCATTACATATAAAGGTGGTGTTTAGCGCTCTCGATGTTGTACCAACGACGTTGCATACGTAGAGACTAGCACTCTCCTTCTTCTTCATTTGCTCGCCGGCCTTGGCTGCGCAACTTGTCGAGGTCCTCAAGAGATGCCAGCAACTGAGGCGGCGTCAGCGACTGGAGGTCGCGGCGCAGTACGATCGGTAACGTGATCTTAGTGCGGCCTAAAAATGGGGCGTCACGGGCGGGGCACCGAAGCGGGCGGCGGCAACGTTGGCAACATGAACGCAGTTGTTTCGTCTCCACGACAAACTTTATGACTGTCTACGAGTAGAGCCAAGTCATTGATAATCTGTCTGCGTGCTCGGACGCAAGCGCATTTGACACTGCGTCTGAAACCCTAACCCGCCGTCATTTAAACGGCACTCAAAAACGACCACCTTTGATTTACACGTCACTAGCATACGCGATGAAGAGGTAGGACGGCGCCGACCTCAAATGGACACTCCGCCTCGGGCACGACGACAAAGGTCCGCCAGCACTTGATGTCAAAGACGTGCAGAACGCCGTGGTAGCGCCAAGTCACAAGACCGCCCATGACAGCAGTCATGCGATCCATATACGCGTGGCCATGGACGATCCAGTTGGTCATGTTGGACGAGTAGACACTTGTGGTGTTGAGAAGAAGCGATGGCGTTGGTACCAATAAGAGATACGGGTGTCGCAGTCGCTCGACACAAGCCGTCAAAAGGACACAGCCGAGACAGAGGCCGACATCAACGCCGACGCGGCTCCAATGACCCAGCTTGACGTAGCCGCTCGTACACTCTAGAGTTAAATCCATGTCGATATAGCTGCAGCTTCGGCGCACAGAGGCAGTGTACTCTTGCGGGTTCATAAACGACCAGGCTGCTGCGACCAAACACGCTGCGACCGAGCTCTTCCAGGCGTAGAATCGCGTGTACTGCCGAGTGACACAGCTCAAGAGGTCGTTGGCGATGTAAACCAGCCACGTGAGCTCGGACGTAGCAAGGAACGTTGGGAACCACTTTAGCGGCGACGCTTGAAACCGAGCGCCGACGCCAAACGCAAGTAGCTGTAGAGATGGTGTGTTGAGCAACCAAAGTGCCGTGATGCCTCGAATGATGAGCAAGGTTCGACCAATCCACGCGTGGCCAATGAGTCGGTTCACCGAAAAGAGGTTCATACCTTCGATACAGCCGCGGCACACAAAGATGGCATAGTAGGCAGCAACCCCCGCACCCACCATCATGGCGCCCGTGACATACCGGACACACTGCTGACAGATGTACGAGAGACGCGTCGGGATCGCCGCGTCGGTAAGAGAGAGCGTGGATAGCATGGTGTAGCGGGACATGGCCGTGACCGTGCCGCCGTCGCCTTGGAACGATACGACTTCGCGCTCCCCGACAACCCAATCGGCCAGATAGTTCCACCCAAAGAACGTCCAGGGTCGGTCGGTCGGATCCAGAATATTGACTCGGTACAGCTCGATGTTGCCGCTGCGGTTGACATACTGCGTCATCTCGATCGAGAGACTGTGGGCGTCGGCCTCCGCCGCCATTGCCAATGCTCGGAGCATTGTTGGATCGGACAAATAGGTTGTCGCAAAGGTGTTGGACGCGAGGTAGATGGCCTCGCAGTTGGGCTCGGCGTATACATCGCTTGCACAAAACGCTCTGAAGTCAATAGTTGGCTGAATTTCATGCACTGCATCAAACGCAGCGAGGGCAAAGACGAGGCCGGTCGTGGACGGTGTAAAGAAGTCGAGGTATTGCCACGAGCAAACTGTGTCAACACCAAAGAGCGTTAGTAGCGCACGGGATGGCGGGGATCCCGGCAGGTCGCTGCCGCACATGAGGTTACCCCCTACGAGGCGCAAGCTGGTGTCATTGAGCAGAGCCTGTGGCAGCTGACCAATGTATGTTTTGGCTGGCAGATTGAGAAATTGCCTCTGAGCTTCAAGGTTGGTGCTGGTTACAGTGGCAATTGCTTGCAGGATGTAGCGGTAGAGGGCTAGAAGCGACTTCGGACAGCTTACGTACACCATGTCGACGGCGCCAAATGGTCCCAGAGATGTATTGTACAGCGCCAAACCAGCGTTGAGTGGCAGCGAGAGCGTCAGGTTCTCAAAGAGCAAACTCGCGCGTGTCGCATTCGCAAAGGCAAAGTGGGGACTACTGCGCAACAGTGACAAGCCACCGACGCTGGTTGCGTTGGTGCTCACGGCCAGAGGTCGCTGGCGAGTCCCCAGTACATGCGATGCGACGTCTGGTAGTCGAGGTGCACGACGCCTCGGCGCTCACTGATAGGCAGCGTATACGAGAGACCGAACGGCGTCGAGATGACCATCGAATCACTGAGACCCGTGTCTTTGAAGTTTTGCCACTGCAGCAAGAACACCGAGATGCCACGGTTACTCCAGTGCTCGACTTCTTCTGGCACGGACAAGGTGTTTGTCTGGACACGGTGCAGCCACTGACGACCCGCCTCGGACGCTGCCAAGTCGTTGCCAATGCCAATGTCGAACGAGGTGCCCCAGCAAGATTGCCATACCGTCCAGTCTTGTAGATTGCGCAGACTCGTCTCGAGGTACCGTGCACCGTTGTGCTGACTGAGAGCTGCACACCGGACCTGACGCTGGCTGGTGCTGGCCATCTCCCACGTCCGATCCAGGTCGAGCCAGCAGTACTGCGTAAACATCCACGGCAGTTGACACGGATGCATGGCCCGGAGACCCGCTACCAGCTCCTGCAACGGCACGGATGCATTGAAGAGGTGCCGGCGCGCCACTGTGGGGTACCACGCGACAGTGGTGACCGACGAGTTGTACGACTGCAGTGGGTCACCAAACCCTGGGTCATGCAGTGCAATCGAAGTGTCGGTGGACGTGAGAAGCTGGCGGTTGAAGGTGTTGGCCAGGAAGGCGTGCATGCCGGTAGCATTGAAGCCGGCCCAGCCATAGTCGTTGGCCAGCGCCGTCTCCAGGACGCTCAAGTAGGCCGCGTTACTCCAGAGAGTGATGCCAATGTACGCAAGGCCTGTACACTGCAGGAAACGCTGAACCGATTTGCGGCCCAAGACGGAATGTGAGACTCTTGAGGGTAGCGAGAGTATGGACGGTGCGCTGAATGGTAGCAGTGTGGCAGGGTCTTGCACTGTAGAGTCCAGCGCTTCGTCGTCCGACTGAATAAGAAGCCATAGCTTGAGATCAAACACGTGGACGCGGCTTCTCCAGGTCAGCGGCACGAGACCGCACATGATTGCCGTGACCAGGCTCAGTCGATGGCCCGTCGAGGCGGCATGCAGGGGTGCCATCGGTGGTATAATAGCACTTGGGCGAGGCGACACACTAGAATCAGGGTACCACAACGACCTGAGAAACGACGCGGTAATGACAGCCCCGACGACCGTCGCGACGACCACACTCCGCTCAAAACTGCCGACGCTGATCATACCATTGGCACAATACGTCATTTGGTCCATGTTGATAGCGAAACACTGGCGGTCGAGCGAAGCGGTCACGGCGACTGGCGTTAGCTGGTCGAGCAAAACGATCGCGAGCCAGCCAAGAAACGGAATCGGTGGCGCAGACCAGGCGGCACTGAGTGGAAGCAGCACGCCGTGCGCCACATGGGCGAGCCAGAGACAGTCCAGTGCAAGCACGCTTGACGTTGCGATCGACCGCGGCGCTAGCACGAGGCGTGTGACACCATGTAAAGACGTTGTGTCAAGTGGCGCCGTCGCCAAGCACAGAATGGCCGCTGCACTTCGGAACACCAAGAAATTTCGACTCACCCACACGGACGCGACAAGAGGCGCAAAGTGAAACCAGTCATAGCCAGCATCGCCGCTAACACAACGCAGTCCAAAAACAAGCCCGGCGAGAATCGCTAGAGTGCCTGTGGTGACGGTTGCAAGGTACCAAAGGTACGGGCCGAGTGCTGCCGGTGGCACGATCGGATCTGCAACCACCGGAGCGTACAAGCCAGAGAGGAGTGTGTACGTAGCCACGTCGCCTTGGAACGAGACGACTTCGCGAAAGTTGAGTGCCCAGTCGTAGACATACATGGCGCCGAGAAATGAAAAGTCGGATGCGAAGAGAAGCTGCTGGTCGATATTGATGGCTGTCTGGTTGGTGTAGAAGATCTGGAGAAAGCCAACATCCAGCGATGAGAGATTCGATAGCAACACCGGATCCAGCGGTGGTAGAGACAATGCGTCATAGAGCGTTTTAGCTTTGACCACAAGCCGCTGACAGGCAATAGCGTCGGTGGGAAATGACGCACAGACGTCGGGCATCGACACGGAGCCGCCGAGAAGCCAGAATGCAAAGACAGCGTTGAAGCTATGCCACTCGAGGGTCAACGGTGTCTGGCTGCCGCAGACGTCATCGAACCGAAACGTTTGCTGGACAAAGCTCTGCCGTCGTCCAAGAGTGCACATGGGGTTGCCCGAGACAAAGCCGAGTTGACGATCTCTCCAGCGCCGAGGCGTCACCAGCAGCGTCTCGCGGGACATATCAACTGATGGCAGCGTCGTCGACGTCACAAGCGCTGCGGTGAGGGCTGCTTGAAATGCTAGAACCGCAGAGAGGAGGCGCGGTGGTGGTGGTACCCACTTGGCGTCAATGCTACCGAAGGAGCCAAGACCGTAGTGGATCGCTTCTTGCACTGGTTTGAGTGGACGTCCGACCGCATAGGATTCGATTTGGTGCGGATCAATGTCGCCAAAGTAGTTGGTCGTACCCCGAACAAGACTTTGATTGGACCCAATCGCGTACAGGTCGTTGTACAAGAGGTTGTAAAGCGCCCGGGTTGTTCGGAACGTCCATCGATTGGTGCTCGGTATTGTCTTGAGCGGCAGCGACAATCTCTGACCGAGTGCTGTCTCGACCAAAATCGACTCGGACACGCCGATGCTGATGCCAGTGCCGTACTGCAGCGTATAGCGGTCGAGACCGTACGACGCCCAAAGTGCGACTTCGTCGGACTCGGCTGTCCACACATGTGTCTCTAGAGATGAGAGCCAAGCTGCGCCAGCGGGTCCGCTTCGCGCAATCGGATGGGCGATCGCCGACAGAAAGAGACCTTGGGTCGCGTCCAGAAAGCCACTGAAATCAATGTTGCGCAGCACGGTCTCGAGGTGCACGGCGCCGTTCGTGGCTTCGTACTGTGCACACCGCGCTTGACGCTTTGTCGTGTATGCGAGCTCGTACGTCTTGTTGAGGTCAGCCCAACAGTAGGGCGAGACCATCTTGACGACCTGTGTCGCGTCGAGGCGGCGCAGACCCCGCACGCCATCGAGAAGACGCGTGAGCTCGTGGTACATGATGAGGCGCGGATACGCTGGGCTCGTGCCTTGAAGTGACGGCACGAAGGCGGATTGGGGTGCGAGGACGTCGATGTTGCCGGACGCTGAGAGAGCGAGGTGGTGGTTGAGGGTGGCGACGAGGATAGTTGCTGCTGTGTTAAAGTTGGGCACGAAAAAGTCGGTCTCGAGGTACGAGGCAACAATCAGGAGGGCGTAGGTGCTGAGACCAATCGAAGCGACGACAGAGAGCATGCCACTGAGCTCAATAATGAGGCGGTTACGAGGCTCAACTTGAGTAGAGAGAGACGTTGGCGGACCGATTATCTTGGGCAACCCATCTATACTGGTCGTTGTCGCAGCGGACGGACCAACATGCACGCGCCGCTGCGATCGCTGTGAGAAGGGGCCCTTGGTGGGCATGCGAGCTGCTCAGATGGCCGTTTCGTCGGTGCGTTTTGCACGGCCTTTCTGGCCGTAACGTGCAACATCTCGGGTTGGTAGCTGATCTACGTCGACTTGTATAGATATTATGATACTGGTTGGGTGCTCGATAAGTGAAATAGATAGCAGGCTGCTCGAGCCTGCACACAGTGGAAGAAACTCTGTAAACGGTTGCATTTTGCCACGATGAAACCGCCAACGATTGTGACCGTCCGTTTAAGATGGAGCGGTCACAGAAACGCGAGTCGCGGCGACGCATTCAATGTCTTGCTACTAATGAACACGAGTCTTACAAGGCTCATCCGACGGGTTTGGCCACACTCGGACATTGCTCATTGGTCTGGTCGTAAACTTGAGTAGGAAACAGGGTCGTCTTGGTCTTGGTGACTCAAAATAATCCAGAACTGACAAAGGACGACATACTATACAGCGGCTTGTGCAGCCACTTCAATAGTCCAATGCATCTGATACTGTACTTGCATTTGGGCGTGCAAACGAACGCGATGACTGTCGCGGGCGGCGCAGTGGACGATGGTAACCCGGAGTACGTGTTCTGCGTGCAAAAAATCATGCCAGCACATTTGTGTGAAGGGTTCACCGGGCTATAATACCACGCGAAGCCGAAACAGTGGTATACGAACATTGCCGAAGAGAACAGTGTCGCAAATCGAGACGACCCAAGTCCGGTTGACTCACCAGCATACTCTTTTTTGAACGACGATGGGCAACGAGATCTCTGCTATCACGCAGGTACAGTACCTGCTTCCAATGTTACGAGGTACGGACGCGATCACCAGGCGTTGGCGGCGGCCAATTCGACATACGTAATGCCTTCCCTTCTCGCCGTTGCTGACACCACGACGTCCGCGGTGCGCGCCATCGCTTCCTCCTCTGGCGCTGATCGCAGCAATGGCATAGGACACGTCGCCCTTGCTCAACGCTGTACAAATCAATGACGCGGCACTGGTGGCGCGCCTGCTTGACGAGGGCGAAAATCCCAACTCGTCAAACGAGGTACCTGCACCGTCGACTCGTGTCGCGAGCTTGCTTGCGATGTCAATAGAACGGGTGCACACCCCTTATGACGGGTGCGGCGGCTGGCCACAGGGCGATTGTGGACGTGCTTTTGGCGCGAGGCGCCACCATGGATCTTGTCGACAAGGTGCAAAGTGGCGCCATGGCGGTTTCAGATTGCTACATGTCCTTTCTAGCACGGGTGCAATGCGATGACCTACGCGGTGGCGCACCGCCGTAAGGACATTATCGCGTGCTTGCATACGCACGGCGAGTCACTGGACGTGGTCCAAGCATCGACAGGTCTTAGTCTCGTGCACGCTGCGGTCGTCGATGCGATAGCGACCTTCAACGTGGAATTCCTCGCGTATCTGTTGGCGCGGGGTGCGTCGCCCAACTCGCGGCTCTGGACGTCGCTGCCCGACGAGCTCCAGCAGCTCCCACTGGACCATTTTGTGGCGCGAGATGTGCTCTTTGCGCACGCTTCGCCGCTGACAACAGCACTGGCGTCGGGGAACCCGGAGCTCTCGGATCTCCTCCTGGCCTACGACGCAGACCCGCACTTGGAGACACCGGTACTTCCGGACGCTACTGCGTCGCCTCGAACTCTCTACTAGGCGATTCAAAGGCAGCTTGTGGAGCATGCGAACGTCCGCATGAAGATTGCGTGGGCGTCCATGGCCATGATGCGTCCGGGCGAGTCCCACGACCTCGCGGTACCTTGTATTTGAACCCGGCAAGAGCTAACACACTTGATAGACAAAGCAAAGCCCGCTCGAAGCTGCCATCTTTTCCAACTCGCTCGGGCTCGTCAAGCTCTACACGACGCTCCAAGAGGGCATGCATGCCTTTCCGGTACCGTCCCGCATCTCGTGGGGATACGAAAGTGACGTTCTAGGGGGGATGTCCACCCCTTTTGCTCGCTGTGCTCTACAATCAGCCCGAGATGATCAAGTATTTCTTGCCAACGTCGGACATTGACGCAGTCACTGCCGTACGCATGTGTCTCTCGGTTGGTCTTCACAGCTATGGTTAGAATGGTGACTATGCTCTCTACACTGCGGCCATGAATGGTCTCTTGGAGATCGTGCAGCTTCTCGTCGAGCATGGCGCCACTGTCGCGCCAACCAACGTGGTACGACACTGCGCGATAATCACCCATGACGCATGCGTTTGTAGGGCGAGGACCTTCCCATTTTGGTGGCGTACGACAGAGGCCACGACAATGTCGTCGTCTACTTGATCACCAAGATGGACAATCTCAACATTTCATCGGTGCGCCTCGATACAATGTTGTCTTTATAGCACTGGTGCTGCAATAGAATGGTGGACCCTTCTTGCTTCGCGCTTGCGGGGACGGCCGCATCTCGGTCGTTGACGCACTTCTCCTCGCCGGTGCCGACTGCAATGCGGCCAACTCGGTGCGTCGTTGCCTCCATACATATATGCCTCGTAAAGATTGCGTCGTCGTGTAGCACGGCATCACACCGCTCATGGGCGCCGCGTACTTGGGTCACACTGCGATCGTGGCCCGCCTGCTGCAAGAGACGTTGATCAACGTGGATGCAGAGGACGAGGTGCGATCCCTCTATCTTGGTCGATGGTCTGTAATGCATCGACGCAGAGCGGGCGAACCGCCATCTTTTGTGCGGTGCAGTCGCTCCAAACCACGGATGCGCCGCTGGCCATCCTGTCGATGCTCTTGGCGGCTGGCGCCAACGTGGACTCCGCATCCGACGTACATCTCTGTCATCTAGACCTGCGACAGCATCATCCTGTGTAGGCTGGCGCGACGGTATTTGCGCAAGCCATTACAACTGGCCGATGCAACCTCGCTGAGGTGCTCTTGCCGTACTTTGACATCCACGAAGGCGTCCCGTCGTATGACAACGCGCAGACGCTATACGTAAGGAGCGCCACCATATTTCACTCGACCCGAGTCTCTTGCTAGCATCTCTCGTACCTTGAGCTCGCCATTATGCACCGGCAACCGCACATCGTGTCGTGGCTCATCGCGCTCGGTGCCGATGCCAACCGAGACAATGTTGAATCTGCGCTCGCATCGTTCCAAATGGCACTAACGACGATTAGGACGGACGTCGTCCGCTGCTTGACGCAGTCATGCACAACGACGTACGCACGGTCGCGACGCTGCTTCCCCACATCAAGGACGTGGAAGCCACCGATGCGGTATACCTCCTCAATGTCGTTTCCGATACAATCTACTGCGCACCTAGCATGGCCACACGGCGCTGTATCTTGCGGCCATGCTTGGGAGCGTGGAGATTCTGCAGCTTCTGGTGGCCCACGGTGCCAACGTCGCCCACATTGTTGAGACACCGGTAGGCTTTACTGGTCCACCACGGGTTTTCCACGTGTGCCGAGTACAGGTGCCGACGACAGCCGTGGCAATGGCGAGTGTCCAGGGTCACGCGGCGGCGGTGCGCTATCTCCTAGAGATGGGTGCGCCGATCGACATTCCTGATGTACTTTCTAGCTCTCCCCGCGTACGTACTGAGAGATGATACGGTAGACAACGCGGAAGGGATCGGTGGCGCTGGCCTACGCGGCGGTCCGTGGTCACGGCGATGTGCTTCGTGCGTTGCTACCTTTTGTCGATGGCAACACGCAGGTGGTCCACGCTCCGCTGCGTGAAACCGGCCCGGACTGGCGCGAAGCGGTTCTGTACATGTCCATGACGATGCCACTGCACTCGGTTGTCATGTACGAAGCCATGGACCCCGTCGAGGGCCACGGCGACTACTTGGATGCTCTCCACGCGCTTCTGAAGAGTCCGTCCATTGACGTCAATGGTCGCTTTGAGGTACCGCATGACTCTAGTTGATTGGCCGATTTGGAGATTGGAGTGCAGAAGGCCAATGGCGCGACGGCCTTGTTTTGTGCGTGCGAACTCGGAAACATCGAATTTGTGCGCGCGCTTGTCGAGCACACGGACTGCGATATCAACGCGGCCGACAATGTAGAATGCCCCTTCCGACCCAAGATTGGACAAGTTGTCGTCTTGTAGGATGGCAACACGCCGTTGCACGCGGCGTGCTGGCATGGCTTCACCGACGTCGTCTCGTACTTGCTGGCGCAGCAGCCGCGACTCAACGTCATGGCTGAAAACCTGGTGAGCCAGGCAAGAGAAGACAGCAATCGATCTCACTGATGCAATAGGATGGCATGACCGCATTGCAAGTCGCAACCGCGCATGCCAAGCGCGACGTGGTGGCGCGACTGTGCCAAGAACCAGCGCTCGTCGTGCACGCCTTGACCAGTACTGTCAAGTAGTGTAGCCTAGTTGATGCCCTCTCCACTAACACAGCCGATGACGATTCTCTGAATGGTGGGGAGATGACCAACGTGTGGATGTTGAATCCAAGAAGCGAAACAGTCGGTGGACTCGAGTGACATTCGCCTAGGGAATAAGGAGCCGCAAATCTACTGGGCACCAAGTCTTCTACAGTGTAGCCACATCGCTCGGTGCCGCGCTGACCGCAACGTCGTCCTCACATTGGATGTACCCATGAATCTCTCGTCAAAATGCAACAGCGGACAGATTGACGTTCTCGTAACGACGTCGTAACGGAAACGGCCGCAGCATCTTGCACACAAGTCGTTCATTAGCAGGGTCAACCAGTCACATTAGCGCCCATGCAAATTCAAGTTCGCCCGTCCGCTGGCACGGGTCCTGCCATCTCCCGCACGTCGGCCCCTCAGCCATCCCACTTGCTTAGCCATTTGCTTGGCCGCCGCATCGTTGTTGAGCTCAGCGGCATGCTCTCTGTCGTCGCTTCGATTGGTCTCAGCGCCTACGCCCTCCTGATTCTTGCCTCGTACCTTGAGACCGACTTTTTCGTGCCCAACTTTAACACGGCAGCAACTATCCTCGTCGCCATCGTCAACCACCACCTGGCTCTCTCAGCGTCCGGAAACATCGACGTCCTCGCACCCCAATCCGCCTTCGTGCCGTCACTTCAAGGCACGAGCCCATCGTATCCGCGCCTCATTATGTACCACGAGCTCACGCGTCTTCTCGATGGCGTGCGGGGTCTGCGCCGCCTTGACGCGACACAGGTCGTCAAGATGGTCTCGCCCTACTGTTGGGCTGACCTCAACAAGACGTACGAGCTCGCATACACGACAAAGCGTCAAGCGCGGTGTACACGGTACGAAGCCACGAACGGCGCCGTGCACCTCGAGACCGTGCTGCGCAACATTGATTTCAGTGGCTTTCTGGACGCGACCCAAGGTCTCTTTCTGTCGGCGATCGCCCATCCCATTGCGCGAAGCGGGTCGGCTGGCGCAGCTTGGCTCTCATCTCTAGAGACGCACGTGTGGGCAGCCGAGTCCGATGAAGTGGCGCTCTGGGCGTCGTACGGTCTCGACCGCTATACGCTGCAGTACGGCACCGGCATCAGCATCGGCGTGTCGGAGTCGATTTTGGTCGAGACAGCACTCGGTCAGAGATTGTCGCTGCCGCTCAAGACAGTACCGAGCACCAATCGGTGGACGTTCCGAACGACCAAGATCCTTTACAACCTCTTGTACAACGACCTGTACGCGATTGGGTTCAACCAAAGTCTTGTTCGGGGTACCACCAACTACTTTGGCGACGTGGACGCGAGTCAGATTGAGGCCTACGCTGCACGGCGGCCTCTGACACCAGTGCAAGAAGCGATCCACTACGGTCTTGGCTCGTTCGGTAGCATTGATGTCAAGTGGGTACCGCCACCACCACGCCTCCTCTCTGCGGTTCTAGCATTTCAAGCAGCCTTCACCGCGGCGCTTGTGACGTCGACGACGTTGCCATCAGTTGATATGTCCCGTGAGACGCTGCTGGTAACGCCTCGGCGCTGGAGAGATCGTCAACTCGGCTTTGTCTCGGGCAATCCCATGTGCACTCTGGGACGACGGCAGAGCTTTGTCCAGCAAACGTTTCGGTTCGATGACGTCTGCGGCAGCCAGACACCGTTGACCCTCGAGTGGCACAGCTTCAACGCTGTCTTTGCATTCTGGCTTCTCGGCGGCTCCGTGTCGATGCCCGACGTCTGTGCGTCATTTCCCACCGACGCTATTGCCTGTCAGCGGCTTGTGGCGAAAGCCAAAACGCTCTATGACGCATTGTCTCTGCCACCGCTGGATCCGGTGTTGCTATCGGATCTCTCATCGCTGGACGTTGGCTTCCTCCAGATCTTCTACACCAACCAGACAGCCATCAATATCGACCAACAGCTGCTCTTCGCCCCCGACTTTTCATTTCTCGGCGCCATGTATGTCTACGACTGGGCACTCAACTTTCGCGAAGTCGTCTCGTTCCAAGGCGATGTGGCTACTTACACCCTCCTCTCTGGCTTGTACGCTCCGGTGGTTGCAGATCCGATCGTGCCACCGGCAGCACTCGGCCCGTACCTTTGGTACCTTGCAACCGTCACCACAGGCACTCTGGGTATGGTGGGTCTCATGGTGCTTCTACTTCGTTTCTGCAGTGGCAGGGTCGAGCCCGCGTGGACGAGCTTCACGCCTTTAGTCGCGTCGGTCTATGTCAATTGGAACATTCTGCTCTTCCGCAGCGCAGCGGCGATCTTGTGTCTTGCCACAGTCCCACTGGATCTGACGACGGAATCCAGTGGACTGGAGCGTCTTGTGGCAGCGCGGCGGCCGTTTCTGCTCTCGAGCATCTTGGCTCTCGAGTCTCTCTGGCTCGTGCATGTGATTCACGACATGCTCTTGCCGCTCGCCGCTACATGGCGAGAGCTCCCAATGGCCTGCGTCGTCTGGCTCGTTATTGTGCTTTTGGACCAATGCTTTCCGCTTGATCTCTCTGTGACGCTGCATCGTCAGTGCTACGCCGTCAATATGGACTACATGACGTATTGTTCCAGCGGCACGGTCCGTGTCGGTCATTTGGACCGATGCGTGCTTCTTCTGAGCATCCTTGGGTCGGTGGTCGCCACCTCGCTGGTAGTCTCTCTCTGGCGGCACCGTGTCTCCGCCGCCACAACCCCCAAGCGCCCGTGCGCGATCTTTCCACCGAGAGCTCCGTCAACACTGCGAGCTTTACAGACGATGCCACCGATTATCGTGGCCATTGACGCCGTCATGTGCGGGATCGTGCCGCTACGATGGCACGGTACTCAGTACTTGTTTGATCTCAAGGTCTGGCGCTGGCTCCGCGTCGATGAACTGGAGATCGTGGACAAGCCGTCGCCCATTCTACGGCGCAGCGCACCAACCCTGCCCACCAAGCCAGCTTTGGACTGGCTGACTTTGCTCCGTATGCGCTCGGTACAGCGCCTTCTTGGCCTCTTGGGGATGATCTACACTGGTATAACTCTCTGGAGTAACGCGGCCTACTTGAGCGTCTTGGAGACGGCGCTGGCCAACGACTATGGCTGGGCCGGCTTCAATGCTACCGGCATGCACGCCTTCCTGGCCAACACCTTCAACCGCCAGCTCCTCACGTCCACCGACGCTTCGATTGCACTGCACGACCCAGCGTTTGGTGACCCACTGCAGTCGTACAACTCGTCGGTCACCACTGTCGCGTGGTACCCCACGGTGGCGCGCCGGTACCTCTTCAATGCATCCGTGCCGTTGCACGAGCTGGTAGCGGGTCTCCGGGCCATGCATCCGTGTCAACTGCCGTGGATGTTTACGCAGTACTGCTGGCTCGACCTGGATCGGACGTGGGAGATGGCCAGCACCAGCCAGCGTCAGGTCCGGTGTGCAGCTCTCAGTCAGCACAACGGTGCACGGTACCTCGAGACGAGTCTGCGTAATCTACAAGACTGGACGGTATGGCAATCTTGCTGGGGCACCTCGTTCGACATTGGCATCGGCAACGACTTGGCAGCGTCCGAGGCGGGTCGTCAGTGGCTGCACCGTGTCCAGACAAACACCTTGTCCGTACCAGAAGAAGTCGAGCACTGGAGTAACCGCGGTATCTCGGTGTTCTTGCTGCAGTGGCAAAACTTCAAAGATACGGGTCTCAGTGATTCGATGGTCATCTCGACGCCCTTCGGTCTCTCGTATACGCTGCCTATCAGTGAGCGCCGAGGCGTCGTGCACCTCGACTACCAGACGTCGCATCGCATGTACTGGGGACTCGCCAGCGACCTCTGGGCCGTGAGCACCAACGCAACCAGCGTCGGTGGCTTGTCACTGTTGCGCAGTAGTCCCCACTTTGCCTTTGCGAATGCGACACGCGCGAGTTTGCTCTTTGAGAACCTGACGCTCTCGCTGCCACTCAACGCTGGTTTGGCGCTGTACAATACATCTCTGGGACCATTTGGCGCCGTCGACATGGTGTACGTAAGCTGTCCGACGTCGCTTCTAGCCCTCTACCGCTACATCCTGCAAGCAATTGCCACTGTAACCAGCACCAACCTTGAAGCCCAGAGGCAATTTCTCAATCTGCCTGCCAAGACATACATTGGTCAGCTGCCACATGCTTTGCTCAATGACACCAGCTTGCGCCTCGTAGGGGGTAACCTCATGTGCGGCAGCGACCTGCCGGGATCCCGCCCATCGAGAGCGTTGCTGACGCTATATGGCATCGACATGGTATGTGGCTGGCGGTACCTGGACTTCTTTACACCGTCCACGACCGGCCTCGTCTTTGCCCTCGCTGCGTTTGATGCAGTGCATGAAATTCAGCCAACTATTGACTTTAGAGCGTTTTGTGAGCGTGATGTATACGCCGAGCCCAACTGTGAAGCCATCTACCTCGCGTCCAACACCTTTGCGACAACCTATTTGTCCGATCCAACAATGCTCCGAGAATTGGCAACGGCGGCGGAGGCCGACGCCCACAGTCTCTCGATCGAGATGACACAGTACGTCAATCGCACCGGCAACATCGAGCTGTACCGAGTCAATATTCTGGATCCGACTGACCGAACCTGGATGTTTTTTGGGTGGAACTATCTGGCCGATTGGGTTGTCGGCAAGCGCGAAGTTGTTTCGTTCCAAGGTGACGGCGGCACAGTCACGGCCATGTCCCGATACACGTTGCTATCCACGCTCTCTCTTACCGACGCGGCGATCCCGACGCGTCTCTCGTACATCTGTCAGCAGTGTGTCCGGTATGTCACGGGCGCCATGATGGTGGGTGCGGGGGTTGCTGCCTACTATGCCATCTTTGTGTGCCGCGGCTGTATCGAAGGCATGAACCTCTTTGCGCTGAATCGGCTGGTTGGTCACGCGTGGATTGGTCGAACCTTGCTCATCATTCGCGGTATCACTGCACTTTGGTTGCTCAACACGCCATCTCTACAGCTACTTGCGTTTGGCGTCGGCGCTCGGTTTCAAGCGCCACCGCTGAATTGGTTCCCGACGCTCCTGGCTTCGTCCGAGCTCACGTGGCTGGTTTACATCGCCAACGACCTCTTTAGCTGCGTCACGCGGCAGTACACAGAATTCTACGCCTGGAAGAGCTCGGTCGCAGCGTGTTTGGTCGCGGCAGCCTGGTCGTTTAAGGATCCCCGAGAGTACACCGCCCACGTGCACCGAAGCTGCAGCTACATTGACATGGATGTGGCTCTGAGTTGTACGAGTGGCTACGTCGAGCTTGGTCATTGGAGCCGCGTCGGCGTCGACGTCGGTCTCTGTCTTGGCTGCGTCTTCTTGGCGGCTCTTGCCGAGCGACTACGGTACCCGCATCTCCCGGCGCCACCCCTGCCGTCGCTCTTGCTAAATGCGACGAGTGTCTACTCGTTGGAACTGACCAACTGGACAGTGGACGGTCACGTCTACCTGGACCGCATGTCGGCCGCGATGACGGGCTTGTTCACGTGGCGAGTGCGCGGTGTTATGCATGTCTTCGACATCAAGAGCTGGCGGCATTTCACGGCCACGGCCGAATCCAAGAGTCCGTTGGACCCGGCCTTTGTGCTACCTCTCCACCGCATTTGCTGAGTGGTGCGGCCCATGAAAGACCGAGTACACCACTGTAGAGGAAAGTCGTCAAGACCACAATTCTCGAGCTTGGACAAATCTAGGCGGCATCATCATCAGGACTCTACAGTTGATAAACCGAGTTTGTTTACACTAGCAGTACGCTATGTTGTCCTGTGAGAGGATGTCAACACGAGCTGTTGTCTTTTTGTCTCGACGTGCGTCCAGCTCGGGATCATCTATGGCCAGGTAGCTCTGCACACTGTTGAGGGTTAGCGAGATCCTGCTGCACGCGCCGACGGCGGCATTTCCTCGGCGTTCAACGTTCTGATGCCGAGCAACAAGGATGCTCAAAGTGATTTTGGTCGACTGCGCTGGACCGTCAGTGCGTGGACTAAAAGCAAGTGCTCATGCTTGCTCGAGAGGCTGCAGACGATTCGGAACGTCACGACCCCACGCGCGATCCATTGCGGCAACGCACGTGCCAAGGCTTGAGCGCCGAGCCAAGGCTTGAGCGCCGAGCTCACGGAGTCGGACGTCAAGTGCACATGCTGCAGAACGCACGACGCACCCAGTCATTACGCGGCGTGTGGCATGCCAGCTTCAGATCTCAGTGGTGGGTTCAGTAAGCGTCATAAAACGCAGGTCGGGGTCAGAGGAAAAGCGCCTAGTGCGGCCATGCCGACGTTGATGCGGCGCTGAGGGATATTTTGGAGGTTCAATCACTGCCGCCAGTGCTGAGTGAGGTCGAGCGCTCGTGGGCGGATATGATTAACAAAGGCGGCGACGTCGCGCCGGTCCGAGAGCCAATGCACGAGCTCGAGCAACATACAGATGTCGGTGGGACGAGATCAAATTGATTGTGGTCATCCGAGCTCCAGATGCCCACTGGTCGACCATCATTCAGACACTCTGTGACCATCACGCTCAGTGTTGGCGATGGCATGTGAGTGTTAGCACTTGATTGTGGACGCGTGGGCTGCATACGGAGAGGATCCTCTCGTAGTGGTCCGCCATGGGTTAAAATTCGGTCGAGGTCGCATAACATCGTTTCCAAGGACCGTGAACTCGAGCAAGCTTAAGTAAGTTGGGATGTCGTCGAGGGAGCGGCGGCTTTCTCCAATCGCCCACTTCTCGGGCAACGTTGGGACGCGATCCCGCACGGCGTCTCCGGCGCGGGTCGCAACTTCGACAACGGTAGCAGCGTGGGCGACAGCAGATTGAAGAGACAATGAGACGTCGCTGGCGTTCAACAAAAAGGCCAATGTAATGCAGTTCAGCGCCATTGACGTGCGAAGCGAACGCTCGGGCGAGTTGCTTGGAAAGGCAAACGATGTCGACGCCATTCGCCAAGTCTACAGTTGAGACTGGAGCATCCAAGCTCATCTCGCAACACACCAAGCCCACCATGTTAGATCCAGAGAAATGCATGCCTAGCTCAGCTCCGCGGCAACAGCCAAATCTAAAACCTGTCAAAATGAATACTGTAATCCAATGGTGGAGGTTTCGAGATTGCATTTGAGTGCATGGCAACCCCGTCCACCGCCGAGGGCGTGCCAGCGGCCATGGAGGCGCGCCACCGCTTCTTCGCCTGCGAGCTGGTGCAAGAGGCTGGTATCCTCCTGTCGCTGCCGCAGGTCGTCCTCGCGACGGGCCAGAGCCTTCTGCACCGCTTCTACGCCGGCCAGAGCCTCACGGACTTCGACGCATTCCGCGTCGCGATGGGCTGCATCTTCCTCGCTGCCAAGGCCGAAGAGCAGCCGCGCCGGGTCAAAGATGTCATCCAGGTCTTCTTTCGCATGCGCAACCGCCGCATGGGCCTCCAGCCCATCTTGCTCATGCCATCGGACCCGCGCTTCTCGCAATGGAGCGACTACATCATCATGGTCGAGCGCCAGCTGCTCATCGAGGTTGGCTTCTCGATTGACGCG